ATATACCCTTAACCCTTACTTACGAACTCATTTATTTATCTACCAAAAATTAATATAACTCAGCACAGTTAAAATAATGGAATGTATAATTTTGGCGCATCAATGAATCCTCCATTTAGTCGGGATTGGGCTAGGGCCAATCTAGGATTGGCATATCCAAAATTAAGGCTTGAGCCTGAGTAGAACCGAACTAGGCTTGGTTGAAGCCCAATAAAACTTGCCGCCAGACTTGACAAAACAAAACAGCCGCGATTATCTTTCAACAATTTTTTTGAGGCTATTAAAAATAGCTAAAAGATACACATTATTAGCACCACACAAAACTCAATCCCTTAAAAACCACAAATTTTTAAAGTGTGATAGTTACATTAGGCCCCCAACGATAGATTCAAATATCTTAACTTCATTTATTTTTTTATTTTTTTACTATTGATCATTAATTTAAGAGGATGATAATTTCACCACTTATATTATGATATTTCTAAATATGTATCATTAATTGCTAAAAATTGTAAACGAAAAAAAATTAATATTTATATTCTCATCTTCGTTCCCATTTAAATAGATTAATTTAAAGGATTTCAATTTCTTGCCAAATCATGTTGGAGTCCCAAAAAAAAATAAAAAACCAAAATCTGTTGTGTACTACCTTGTAGAAACGTTGATAAATTAAGGTCCTGCATACTACTTTTATGATCAATAACATGGTTACAATTTATTAGGTTAATAACATTATTTAATTCACCAAACATGTGACATATGTCTTTATTTATTAAAAAGGTAGCATGCAATCTATTTATAGTTAACTTTAAAAAATATGCAATTTATATAAAATGAACTATATATAGAGTAACTGTCTTATTATTTATATTATAAATTATTTTATTTAGAAATGTTGTAGTAAACTGGACTACTTATTGAGAGAGGAGTGAACCTCTAATATGAGTGCTTAAATGAGGTGTTGCATGTGTAGGATAAATTATATTTTTTAAATTATATTTTAAAAAAATAAATAAAAAGAATATTTTTATTAAAAAATATTTTATATGAAAAATTGTATATTAAAAATATAATTTTCTTTATAAATTATTTATTTATTTATTTTATTAAAATATTGTAATAAATTAATAAAATAAACTGTTATTTTACTGTACAGTAGTTATATTAGATGAATCTTTTTCCATTATTCCATATTTCAATTTCATTTCGTTTGGCACCTGGGTTTCACGGTCAATAACCTTAAGCCGATTTATAAGGTGCATCCTCCAGTTCAAAGGTTAGGATCCTATTCCCTCCCTCAAAATTGTAACTTGTTCAAAAAAAATTCCAGTTCGTTTGGCCATTTCCAGTTCCAGGTGGTTCAATCTGTACCGTCCGATGGACCCAGATGCTGAAATGGACGGTCCCTAACCCTATTTGCTCAGTAGCAAAACAAATGAATACTTCCACTCAGCTTTGACCATCTGATTGGTCACATTCCTTAAAAGCGGTCTGGAAGTGGAAAAATCAAATACTGGGAAGAAAGAAAACACCCACGACCTTTTTTTATGTTATGGAAAAAGTTTCGGTTTTCTTAAATAAAATTTTGAATTTGGATTTTGTATATAAAAAAATAAATATTAAGAAAGTTTTTTTTAATAAAATTTATTGTAATTTAATTTTAAATTAATTAAAATTGAATGCGATTATTGGATAAAAAAAGATTTAAAAAAAACAAAAAGAAAAACGAAATGGCAAATGAATACAGGCGGGACGTATTTCTACTCAGCTCACACGTACTGTATGCGACAAACATGAAATTCTACGCTCAAATTTCTTCAATTTTCTTTCTCTGTTTGATTTCCGGAGAGAAGGGAAATTGCAATGTACAAGACGAAGCTGCAGGAGATGTGCCACCGGCGCCGTTGGGGACTGCCGAAGTACGCCTACATGAAGAACGGACTCGATCATAGCCCGAGCTTCAAGGCCTCCGTCTCTGTTAATGGCATGTCGTTTGATTCATCTCCTTCGTGCAAGTCATCCAAAGAGGCCTTAAACGACGCAGCCAAGCTCGCTTTCTTCCACTTCGATTCTCCCACCCTGCTACTGCAGAAGGTACAAACGACATGATTTTGATGTTATTCTGCTTTTGTGAAAGTTTCATTCAATTTCGGATTGCATGCGTTTGTTTTGATGTTATTTAGAATGTCATTTCACTACTCATGTGCCAACGTCTTGAACTGTTTCTTAATTAGCTATTGCCTTGCTTTGAAATCTTTACTTTACTACTCAGTTTCCTCAATTTCAAGTGTTGAACTCGATATTGGAGGAGGAGGAGGAGGATCAAAGAAGGAAGAAACATACCAGAGAACTGACACTGAGTCACAAACTGTCCAGGTTATGGACGGTTAGGTGTATTATGGCTAGCATTTTCTTTAACCAGTTTGATCATGGTGGTAGTTTGAGTTCTGTTAATCTAGAGTTTATTTATTCAATTGTTCATACTGCATTGTTATTATTGTTAATCAAGGGAAATTTTTTCAGAAGGGAGGTGCCTAGGCTTGAACCAAGAAGTCCATGCCTATTGCATAGTTGATAGGGTGTTATTTATGCAAAATCTAGCAATTTAGGATGGAGTTAATTGTCTCGTTAATTCATTATTCATTATAGGTGCTCTACGAGCTTATGAAAATTGATTGCAAGCTTGTTTGGTACATGATCAAAATGATTAGACTGTTGAATAAATAACCCTTTCATTTTTCTTAAAAGTTAAGACAAACACTTTCTGTAGTTTCTATGACAACTTAGCATGCCTTATTTGTAAGTTTTGCCAAGTTTAGAATTGGATTGAGTAAGGTGCATAATAACATTACCTAGTTCCCTAGATTCGATATTATAGAAACGGAAACATTGGGTTATATTGTTTGCATAAGTACTGTTTTCCTTTGTCTTGCTACCACAAACATCTTTCATTCATCGCATGAAAAAAAAAATGTCTTTTTAACTTGTCTAAAATTTGGTTTCTACCCCAAGATATCCACTGTCAATACAAGACAAGGCTGCAAAATTATGTGCAGTTCAAGAATCTTGACTCACCGTCATATTGCACCCAACGTGAGGGTCCTTCTCATAAACCTGTTTTCAAGGCTACAGTTGCTGTTGGTGGACATACTTTTGAGAGCCCTGCCTTCTTCAAAACTTTAAAAGAAGCAGAGCATGCTGCTGCTAAGGCTGCCTTAATGTCCTTGTATTATGATGGCATTCATGAGGTAAGTTTCTCAGAACAGCCTTTACACTGAACTTGCCATATTTAAGGAGATAAAAGATAACCAAGTTCATATTGTGTGCAATTTATTTGTTCATGAGGGTGTCCATGACAATTTATTTATCATTGGCATATCCCTGTATCAGGTTGACTCTGGATTTTACAAAAATCTCTTGCAAGAGCTAACTCAGAAAGAAAGTTTGTCCAGACCGGTCTACAAGACAACAAAATCTGGTGCATCTCACCAGCCCACGTTCTTATCCAGTGTGGAAGTGGAAGGAAAATTGTTCTATGGAAAAGCAGGGAAATCCAAAAAAAAGGCACAGGCAAAAGCTGCAGAAGTTGCTTGCACCATTCTAAAAGAGGGTAAGTCATTGCTTAACTTTTAAAGTGATATCTATTACCTATAGTTTAATAACTGCTGTATTTCCTTGTTTTTGGCATAACTTTCATGGAACTTTCTCTGTTCTCTGTGCGATGTGAACATTTTTGTCCAGCTTTTATTCAACCATGTCCATTGTAGTATCTATTACTAAGGTTTCATTATATGTGGAGTTATGTGTAGCTTTTAGCATACGAGTTAGTTGTTGCTGTTGGGAACATAGAATGTGCCTATGATATTATTTTTTTTACGCCTTCTGGATCATCGTCCAAACTTGATTAACTTAGGTCCTTTGAAAGGCTTTAACATTAATATCAGAAAATTGCTGGAAATTGCTTTTTACAGTTTTAGTTACAACTCTACTCTGTTAAGATGTTATCTTCATTGTCTGGAAAGACAATGAAGAGTTCTTTTTCACTTTTAGATGGGCTTAGTTTGTGCTCTGGGTTTTATTCATCAGATGTCACGATCAAGAAACCCATCAACTCTGATCATAGCCCAGACTCCATCTCCATTGTCAATCCTCAGGACAACCACGGAGACAAGAGTCAAGTTATTTCATCTACCATAAAAAATGAAGAACATAATGAACAATGTAAAGAAAACATCCAACTCTAGTTTTTTCCTTCGGTATGTCTTTTTCAATTGACATATGCAACAAAATGGATATCATTTGCTAAAGTCATGCTTACTTAGATTTATGGCATTCTCTAACAGATCAAGTGCAAGAAGTCATCTCTGGTGAGGATAATATGGTCAGAAACAAAGATTCACCTTCATGTTCTAAATCTGTACCTCAAGCTTCCTCAGAGGGCTTATTATCTTCTGCAACACCAACAAATCCAGATATTTTTGCCCCTTCCATATCTGACACAAATTTACAGACAGCTACTGGGGTCAGAAGTTATCTACTGCACAACAGGGTTAGGGTCTATACAAGCTTCCCAAACATTGCATGTCCCAAGGGGATAACAGTCCTGCCCATCGGCGACAACAAATGGGTTCCCGTGAGTCTGGAATTCCCAAATGAAGTATGCAATTTATGATTTGAGGCTACTTGTTAATATTTCCTCAAATTCTCTAGACATATAGTTCTCAATTTTGTGGGTTCATATTTCAATTTTCACAGAAACTAAATATCTTCCATATGTAATAACCAATCTTAGCTATTTGGTGTTAAATTGAAATTGATTGGGTGCTATGAATTCTCTGGTGAAGTTATCTACAAAACTAGTTATTTATGTTCTCTAATGCTTTTTAATCCTCCTAAGATATTAGCTTCTATCAACTCTCTTGCATATTTGTGGTTTCTTTATCATTTTCAACTCTAAAGGAATTTGAAACATTATGAAGAATTGCATATTGTACTTGGCAGAAACATTATGTTCTCTGCTGGCATACAACTTACCAGAAACATTGAACTATGGAGCATTTCATTGCTTTGGTGTTTCTCATCATATGTGTACATTCTAATGCAATCTATGGATGAAATTAATGGTGGAGGATTGCTTATTATACAAGTTTAGTCCTCAATATCATCGGTTTCTCCAAACATAGACATGAATGCATGTTTAACATAAAGGCCAAGCACCACAACCAACAGAAGAGCAAGTACCATGTTCATCACTCTCTTTGGGTTCTTGATCACCATGACTAAGCCGTCAAAGACTTGCTTACAGGCTCCTACTCCTGGTTGTTCATCAAGGCGATTTACCTTCCCAATTACTCCCTTGCCCTTCTCAGCTTCCTTCCCTTCATCTGTTGCCTTACTCGGAACACCATTCGTTTTTCCTACCCCATCACCAGTACTTGTCCCAATTCTCGGTTTCGCCGTGGTAGTCGTCGGAGGAGCTTCTTTATCTGCAAACTGTTCTTGATCCTCCTTTTTACTTTTTCGCACATCTTCCTCCGGTTTTGGCTTCCCCTGCGTCGGCTTTGGCTCCACTGTTCCTTTCAATTTCGGAATTTTGACAGATAGCTTACCTACGCTAAAAGTTGCAGTGATTCCATTTGCATCATGGTCATCTCGAATTGGAATTGTCAGATGGAACCGGATACGTTTATTCTCTCCGCCCTCTCGTTCTGCCTTTATCCACAACTCCCTTGTATTAGTCACCTGAACCCTCAATTCCTTCTTCTTATATTCTGCATACGTACATATATATAATTCATACACATGCAGACTTTCAAAAGAGAGACTAAAAAAAAAAAAACAAGAGGAAAAAACATACCTGCTGGGAGATGGACGATGAGAGTGTCATGGGCAGCCTCATACTCCCATTCTGTTTGTGGCTTTTCATATATGATGTCCATTATTTCTCCCCCTTTGCTTTAGAGATTTTCTACCGATCTTCCTGGAGAAAAACACCAACTCCTGTCTGTTGGTTTTTATATGCAAATATTGGTTGGTTTCTAAATGCAGAAGACTTCTAGGAATTATTTGGGGTTTTAGTTTCCTTTGGGTATAATTATTCATTTCTTCTCTTGAGATTTTCTTTGGGTTTGGAATTTTTTAGCGTCTCACGCATACGCTTTTGACGAGGAGTTGCTCTACACACTTCTTGCGTAAGGTCAAGGTTCTCTGCTGGGAGGGGTGGGACCAAAGAAGAAAAGCTCCGGATAATACAACCCGTTCAAAAATAGGGTTTTTTTTTTTTTAGCCCGTTTAATCTACCTATAAGGCATAGGATAAAGTTAATATATAATTTAAATTAATTTATTAAAAAATTATAAAAATTAATTTTTAATTTAATAATATGATCATGTTTATAAAGTTTTAATTGAATAATTAATTAAATTATAATACAAATTGTCCCGCATTTGGTGGCCTACTAGCCACTCCCTTGTGAAACATGCGTAGGACTAGCGAATTTAAGATCAAATCCAATGTCCTCCTTTCCCCTTCGGCGAAAAAGCTATACACTGTTTAAAAAAAAAATTATAATGCAAAATTTTAAATAAATTAATTATAAAAAATACAATAAACATACCCTTAACCTATACCATTATGCAGCAAATAAAAAAAAAATTAGGATAATCGGGTCGGAAACCCAATCCATGGCTCAAAGTCAAAAGCCCAACTAGATATGAAGTTTAATTAGTTCAGGCCCATATCATCTTGTGATGGGCCGATGGCCGAAATGCTTTATGACTAACTATAGTACTATGCTTTTTAGGACCAAATTATTTCCTGTAATGGCCCAGAACCGCTGGGAAAGCATGGCCGAAATGCTCCAGCCGGACACGTGGGAAACGGTTATTGGTGAATTAGACCAAAATTGCAGCTACGGTGCCGTATTTTTGAAATTTTTAAGCTTTACCCCGGCGACCTGCAAATGGTAGTGGAGAAAAAGGGGAAGGAAGAAAGCAGCTACGCAGCAAAATGGCGGTAGATGCAAATTTCGCATCGTTGTTCGAGAAGCTAAAGGTGGAAGATCCATGGCTGCCTCCTAGGACCTGGGAATCCATACCTTCACAGAGCGGACCGCCACCCCTCCGCCGTCCTCACTGCTCCATTTCCGCCTCGTCCTCCGTCTCCGTGAGTCTTTCTCTCTCACTCGGCGTATTTATAGTATAATTGCCTCTGTATATTCAATGCATTTCGGATTTCATAAGAGGATGAGTGCAGTTCATGATCTGATGAACTTTTGATGGAGATATTCTCACGAAATTCCTACCTTCTATTGCTAGATCTTTGTTTTCTACTTTTATTCTTTTCTTCTTTTCAAAATTATTCTGTTGTTGCAATACAGTTATTATATGTTTCGAATTCGAATCTATTGATTCATTGTACTTGTTTAGTGGAATGTATAGATTACTGTTTGAGCTGAGGTTTTGAACTTCGATTCTTTGAAATAATGAACAGGAAGCAAGTTTGGTGAGGCTGGCACTGAATGCACTGCATGGTGTAGAATCAGCTCTTATTAGCATAGAAAAGCTTTCCTCTGCCTTTTGTTGTGATCCTGCTGATAGGACTTTCCATCAGATTCCTAGTCTTTGGAATAGGTCTTCGAGCACTCATGCTTTGGGGAACATTCTCAAATCTATAGGTTGTTCTGGTTTCTCAGTTCTTCTTCTCCATGATTTTGTGGAATATTTTATGAATTTGAATCTGAATCGAACATCGGCTGGGATGCAAGGAGAAATTTCTGAAGCACTGGAAAAACAAAATCATTGTGGAACTGAAGAGCATGATCAAAACAGTCTTGTTAACCAGGCATTTGCTGTGGCTGTGACAAAAGTTTTGGAAGGGTATATCCGTGCACTGGATACAATACATGCATCAGTAGGTCTTAGGCGTTCATCAAAAAGTATGGAAGTGGTTTCATGTGTTCCTTCTGGATGCCTCACTAGTGTAGTGCATTCTGAATTTACACTATTGGAGGTGTACCTTCACACAAAGGAGCTGATGACTCAGATTGAAGCTCTAGCGAGTATATGCAAACTAAATGATATAGCAAATTGTTTTTCTATATCTTCTTTTGAAGAACTAATTACTAATGCAACCTTGGCATTTCATAACTTCCATAGGGGGGCGGATCTCCTTAGCTACTTGTATGCTCAATTAAAGGTCAGTTGATTTTAAAGCTGTCATTGCATTTCTTCTTCCTCTAATGTTCAAGAAATCCATTCAGTCTGTGAAATCACTCATTATGTTGAGCAAGCTTCTTTTTATTTATTTTTATTTTTATTTTTATTTTCTTTCCATGGTTGCTGAGTGCCTACTTTTATTGCAAACTCATTTAACTTAGTGAATTAAACTCATTATCAAACTTGTATTATCGTTTCTGTGGAAGGCACATGCTGGCGACAACCATTGCCTTTTCTAATTTTCTACTGCTTTTTGATTGAACATTTCATGATGAAGTCTTGTGAAAATGTTTCTTGTTTCTGACACATGTTGATATGTTATTGCCTAATAGGACTTGTCTTATATCTATGGATCTATTGATGAATGTTTTGGAGCATAATGTATTTGTAGGTTGCTGATCCTGCGCATTCTCCTCTACTCAAGTTTCTCTTTCTTCGGTCAAGTGAACCTTACTGTGGCTTTATCAGATCATGGATATTTAAAGCAGAGATTAATGATCCTTATAAGGAGTTTGTTGTACAATATGTTGAGACGTCACAGTCGTATCAGTCTAGTAAAGTTGGTGCCTCTATTGACTCCCCATTGGCAAGTGTCAGGGTAATGAGCTTTGCAATGTTTTAATACATAATGTTCATATGATGTCATCTATTTGTTACAATTTTAGCATCCCTTCAAAATACTGATCCTCAGAGCTGAGACTCTTTGCTTCAGGAGTGTGATGGAGCTGCCGTTCCATGTTTTCTGAAGGACTTTCTTATTCCACTTGTCAGGGCTGGTCAGCAGCTTCAAGTACTGATGAAGTTGCTTGAATTGTGTAAATATATTACCCTTGGAGACAATTCTTACATGGATTTTCTTCCTTGTTGGAGCCAGTTTTCTGCCAATCATCCAATTTATGCAACTCCAATCACTTTCAGCAAAGGAAATATAGAAGACTTGGTATTCAGAAGGAACAATTATTATGAGAGGATGCAGGAGAGACTTGAAACTCTCTTGACAAAGTTGGAATTCAGCCATCAGGAGGTAACATATTTTTGAAAATTTTCTGTTGTGAAATATGCTCTAAAAATAACAAGGGTAATGCTAATTCAGAACAGTGATTTTTACCTTTTGATATCCATTTTATACTTAGAGGTAAATCTTTTCTGAGTTAATTGAAATGATAGGTAAATCATATGGAGGCTTACCTAACACATAGGAACTTATTTTTCACAACTCTTTGCCTTTGATCTTTGTGGTGGCTGGAAGCTGTCATTTCATAGCCAGCAGGCAAATTCATGCTTTTCTATTGCTCTTTTCCTAGTTCTTTCAGATTACTTATCTAAAGTTTATGTTTCAGATCCTTTCACCTGGCACTGAACCTATGCTCTTTGGTAATGTTGGAGTGGGTTTAAGCACTACAGTTACATTCACAGTGGAAGACAAGTCGCTTGTTACTGCAAGATTTGACCGGAGTTGCTCACATGTGTA